CAATTGCTTAGTTCTCAACCCTACATCAGCTACACCAATCTCCACGATTCAATTGTAAATCAATCTATGCAATACATTTGTTATAAATACTAAGACGCTAATTACTTATTTCGTTCACTCCAAAATGGAATCTCACGACTTGAATTGTTCATTTTTAGAGTCTTTATCGAAAAGACCATCCCAGCAAAATTAGCTCAAATCAGAAATCTTTTGGACATTTGATCGTGAATATTTTTCATTATTTGCCGTAAATGTTTTGTTTATTTAGTTATTTGATTATAGTTATATGACTAAATAATTTTAGTTTTTTTTTTCACAACAAAATAAAATCCGGTTTGAGTGAATTTTTGTTGATATTAACTTCTAGTAAGAACTTAAAAAATAAACTGTTTGGATTTTGAGATACATTTTTCAGTGATCCCAATCCGGTTACTCGGGCAAGTTACAAAGAGCAATAGCTTTTTTTTTTTTCTTTTTTTGGTAAAATACATTAAATATAATTGTCATAATGAAAGATAGTTATTATTGAAACTTTAACATACATACATCCGAGTGATATATATTAAATATAACTTTTTGCCACTTAATACTACAGTCTATTGATGTTCATTTTCACTCATAAGTAAGATATCTCATATTCGATTCTCGTCAAAAGAAAATTTGAATCACATTATTATGGCTAGCCTATTGTGAGACTTAGGTCATCTACATTAATGTAGATACCATCGTTTGTAAAAATAAAAAAATAAAAAAAAAACCAGTTTTTGCACCAAAAAAAAAGATAAAGAAAGAGATGAAGGACAAAGAGCCTGACCCAATAAGTACTTTGGGCAATAATGGGGTTACTTTGCAAGAGGCCCATTTGGTCAACATCTGATGAAACCCAAACCCAAGTGCTGATTAAGTCAAAGTCAACATCAAATGTATAAGTATAAGGAAAATGAAACAACAGAAACGCCATTGTGGGACTTTAGCCTCCTCCTAGTAAGTGACGATGTGATGGCAAACATGAGCAATTGTCTACAAAGAAAAGCATATACCTTCTAAAAGTAAGAACAATTAGATTAGTAGTATATATTTTCACTAGTTAGAGGAGATTTCAAATTCGATTCACATGAACAACGACATGTCGAAAAATAATATGTATTTATGATGAGTTTAATATGTACTTGTAACTATACTAAAAAACAGATGCATAATGAGATCAAGGTGGCCCTAGAACCATCCGGAGTCTGAAAAATATACTTGAGAAGGTCTTCTAAGGACCCTCCTAATATTTTGTACGTGTCACTTTTGTACTTACTTTTGATGTCATACCTGCTAGGTATATCTAAACAGATTGCGTCGACAACACTCGACAATTTCGCTCCATGTTACTCATCAGATTGTTTTGACATATGTCAATATCTGTTGATATGCACGCAACATGATTTGACTGACGACAACAAGCCCACTAAGTCTTGGATCCGCCACTTACTAGACTTATTGTGGTGTCGTAATATTTCTGATATTATGAGTGCATTGTAAAATACTTAATAAAAAACTTAGAAGATAATATATAAATAAAAACATGGCCCTGTTAAGCCGGCGATACTGATTGAAACATCCACAGATGGCAACACTATTGACGTCCCATAACTAACTAACTACCCCCACTACCTATCGCCGGACGGACACTCCTCAACCATCCAGATCAAACTCCCAACTTCCATATCAGTTATCACCCATATCCTCACCGTTAGATCATCCTCCCTCCCTCTTTATAAGTAACTACCCCTACCCTTCCCTCCAAAAATAACCCTTCCCTTCAAGGAAACAGAGTCGCGGGCAGTTTTATACGTATTTATCTTACGCATCTTCCCCGTTTTACCCCCTACACATCGGCGAAAATGAGAGAGATTCTGCACATCCAGGGAGGGCAATGTGGGAACCAAATAGGATCAAAGTTCTGGGAGGTTGTGTGCGACGAGCACGGCATAGACCCCACCGGGCAGTACACCGGTAACACTGACATTCAGTTGGAGAGGGTCAATGTTTATTACAACGAGGCCAGCGGCGGCCGTTACGTGCCTCGCGCGGTGCTCATGGACCTCGAGCCAGGCACCATGGACAGCATTCGCGCTGGGCCTTACGGCCAGATTTTCCGGCCAGATAACTTTGTTTTTGGACAGTCCGGGGCCGGAAACAATTGGGCTAAAGGTCATTACACGGAAGGCGCTGAGCTTATTGATTCGGTGCTCGATGTTGTTAGGAAAGAGGCTGAGAGCTGTGACTGCTTGCAAGGTAACGTTTATATATATATAGGTTACTTATCTATTTTCATTCATTGATCACACAAAAAATTTGTATGATTTGATTTATCTAATTTTATTTGTTTTGTGCTGATTAATTTGCATGGTTCACGTATGATTAATTTTTAAAAGGACGTATGATTAATTAGATCTGATTGTGATCTAATTATATAATTCTGCAAATTGTGTTCTAATTCAAAAGGACGTTTGTTATTAAAGAACTGTCACCATGTATTGATAATGAGTAGATACAATCGTCGTCAAGATTATTAATGATATATTTTGTATAATCTCGACTGCACGTCGTTTAATTCCAGAATTTTTTTTATTTAACGTAAAGTCCGACACGAGCGATATTCTTGTTGGGGGAGAAATTTGAACTTGGTGCATAGGTTCGAATTCGGTTGGATAGGGGAGCACATCACGTCTACAAATTTTTGTAATCTTTAGATGAAAGAACATCTCATTTTTTGCACGGTTAGCTTTTAAACTTTTTACCGCATATAATATGGTACAAAATTCAAATTTAATCTTTCTATATAATTTTCAACCTTAGTTTTTCAGATGCTTTAATATCCAGATGAGTTATTTAGATGTCACTCATATTTTAGGTCTTACCTTGATGCAGGATTTCAAGTATGTCACTCACTTGGAGGCGGAACCGGCTCCGGAATGGGAACTCTGCTCATTTCAAAGATCAGAGAAGAATTCCCAGATCGAATGATGCTCACCTTCTCTGTCTTTCCATCTCCGAAGGTTTCAGACACTGTTGTAGAGCCTTACAATGCCACACTTTCCGTTCACCAACTGGTCGAGAATGGCGATGAGTGTATGGTCCTCGACAATGAAGCCCTCTATGATATCTGCTTTAGGACTCTCAAGCTCACCACCCCAAGCTGTAAGTTGAATCCACATATGAAACTCAGCATTGCATTTTATCCTCATTAATTCTGAAGCGTAAAATGTTGATCGACTTAATCCTGATGCCGAAAAATATGTTTTGACCTCAAACGGAATACTAGTTCCTAAACACTGAAATGTACTTTTTGTGTGTGTTCCAGTTGGGGATCTGAATCATCTGATTTCGGGAACTATGAGCGGAGTTACTTGTTGCCTACGCTTCCCTGGACAATTGAACTCAGATCTGCGAAAGCTAGCCGTGAACTTAATCCCATTCCCACGACTACACTTCTTCATGGTGGGATTTGCGCCTCTGACATCTCGAGGATCGCAGCAGTACTGTGCATTGTCTGTCCCCGAACTGACACAACAAATGTGGGATGCCAAAAACATGATGTGCGCAGCTGATCCGCGCCACGGACGTTACCTCACAGCATCAGCGATGTTTCGAGGTAAAATGAGCACAAAAGAAGTAGACGAACAGATGATGAATGTGCAGAACAAGAACTCCTCCTACTTCGTTGAATGGATTCCGAACAATGTGAAATCCAGCGTTTGTGACATTCCGCCGCAAGGTCTTATCATGTCTTCGACATTCATTGGGAATTCGACTTCTATACAAGAGATGTTCCGAAGAGTAAGCGAGCAGTTCACGGCGATGTTTAGGAGGAAGGCCTTCTTGCACTGGTATACCGGAGAAGGAATGGATGAGATGGAGTTTACGGAAGCGGAGAGCAACATGAACGATCTTGTTGCGGAATACCAACAGTACCAAGATGCCACGATTGATGAAGATGGCGATTACGTCGAAGAGGAAGAAGGGATGGGAGGTGGAGAAGAACACTGAAGGTGTTCGATTTGATGAGTCTGCTGTTTCGTGTGATCCAAGCAATAATTAAGTGATTTTGAATATGTTCATTTCGCAAACTATTATCTTTGAATACCGCGATATTGTGTTTGTATGGGAATTTTAGTAAATTTAGTTTTCCTTCATATGTTAAGCCCTTGCTTGTAACAACCTATATTTGCTTATAGGATGAAATTACTACATGTGGATCACCTTGAAAATATATCATCGCACTTGGTGCGATGGCAAGTGCCTTCGCCCATGAGCGGTAGGTCTCGGGTTCGAGACTTGGGAGCAGCCTCTCCATAAATGGGGGTAAGGCTAGCCGACATTCACCTCTCCCAGACCCTGCGTAAAGCGGGAGCCTTGTGCACTGGGTACGACCTTTAGCCCTAAATCTTTACGAGAACGACTTGGGAAAAAGAAATACTACTAGACAATAAGGTAGTTGGTATTCCTTAACATGACTCTTGAAATATATCTTTGTTATTTTATTAAAAGAGGGAAATTGTATCCGGATAAAAAAGACAGACACACTAATATAGCCAACTGACTTGACTCACACCTTCTTTATGCTTTCCCATCTTGACTTGAGAAATGTTCACATGGAAAATGAATTGTAGCAAAGGAACATAATAATTTGGTTTCACAAACATGAAGACTTAGTTTGGATAATAATTTGCTTGATGGCATGAAAAATAGTTTGCTTGATGGCATGGTTGGAACAAGCAACCATACCTACTCGTACTTGGTTCGGATTCCTCATGTCTGCTCTCCGGGTTGCTATGCTCGCAGTGGATCACCTCTGAATGTAAGCGTGACACCTTTAAGTTCTTGGTGCTAATGTTTCAAAGAAAAGCTGAGTTCATGTAATGAAGCGTGTTACAGACTATTCATAGTACTACCCTTTTCTCAGGTTGGAGATCTTTTGAACTTCTTGAGTGCAATATTTTTCGAAATTCATATGCTTCGAACTGAACATATTTCTGGAAGCACAAAGAAAGAAAACTTCTTTGCAATTCTTGGATATGATGTTTGTGTCGTTGCTCTCTTATCCAAAATTTGGGTTTTCATCGGAGGGTTGTTGGATGGTACCGACTATTCCAACCAATCACCATGGACATGGACAGAGCTATGGGACTGGATTGTTGCATTTCAATGGATACCTGCAATTTATACCGGTGCATTTTCAACTGGATTATGCTTACGGATTGAGGTAGGGTTCCTTGCTTCACACTACTATTGTTTCATATTAGTACTCATGTCGTGACTTACTGGTGCAGATTTTTAGGTCCTCACCCCCGAAAGAATTTACAGAAGATGGTAAAGAGAAAGGTGATCTCCAACGAGTTCCAGTCGAGCATAAATTACAAAACGGTCTCTACTTCACCGGTTGTTGTGAGATCTGAAACAAATGTCACAGATTACTTCAAGTGATGTCTCCTAATTCTTTCTCCATATGTATGTAAGTACAAGTTTGAAAGTAGCCAACAGATAATGTATAGAGAAAAACTTATCAACGATTCTTACCATAACAACTGAAGAAATACAACTCCAATTCCGTTGCATAGCGGCTAAAGTCCAAAGACATCACACTACAACTTTATTGAGTTGAAATAGGATCGTTCTACAGACTAGCAACTAGAAATATTAAATCACGAGCAACGTCGTTTAAAATACATAAGTCTAATAATAAAACACGGGATATGAAGATTATCAGAAGGATCAATTCTTCTTGGCAATGAACAGGCCCCACTTCTGCTCGCCGGAATCAACCCTGATCAGTTTTGCCTTCCATCCACCGATGATGTCATCATAATCCTCCTGTTCATATTTGCAATCACAAAGAATCAGAAGAATGAATGGAGAAATATTTGATATGTTAATTGGGAAAACATGGAAATGAGGAAGACAATCACCTGAGAAAAGTCCTGGACGAATGAATCCTTATCCTTCTCAACGGCATCCAGTTCCCGCTCCAGAACTGCTTTGAACTGATCAGTACGATCCTCAGCAATGACCTCATCAAAACCAGCGTCCTTGAGCATCTGAGGACGGTATGAATGTACAAGTATTATTTTATATCAAGGAATTATGGATGAATGATTTTGAAAGACGTGCTGGTAAAAGAAATCAGATGCCAAATTTCAAAGCATACCTGACCATAAGCTTTTACATCATGGAGATCGTATCCCCTTTGCTTAATATACTCAGCAAAGTTTTCAGATGGAGTTCCAACACACCTACAGTAATCACTGATGAGAACTTTACCGCCTGGCTTCAACCACTCGTAGAAGGATCGGAATAATGCAGGCTTGTCCTGTAAATTTTTCAAAGTGTCATCAGGTCGTAAATGGAAGTTTAGCGAAACTTGAAAAATTAATATGAAGTTGCTGAAAGAGCATGACTCCCACAGATAAATGACAAGGGCGCACTTACTTGAATGTGTAAAATGGTGTCGCGGCTGTATATCACATCAAAGGTATTGTCAGGATAAGTCTTTTTTGTGCAATCAGCAACTTCAAACTCGACAGCGCATTTGAGTCCAATGGATTGTTCGAGAGCAAAAGAAATCATATTCACAGAGAGGTCAATGCCAATAACCTCAACATCAAAGTTTGAGGCCATATAGAAGTCACCTCCCCCGATGCCACAGCCTACATCAAGAACTTTCTGGCCAGGCTTCAGATCCAACTTTGCCACAAATTCTTTCGTAGTCTCTGCTCAAAAGAGACGTGTTCACTCATATCAGGCATGTTAGGACAATCAATCAGAAAACCAAAGATAAATAATCAGCCAACAGGTATTACCGATCCCTCCTGTGCTCACGAAACCTCGCCCAAAGACACGCTCATATCGTAGTATGCCATTATTTTTGTACTGAACATTATCCAAGAACTGCTGGAACCCTCTATCATTTTCTGAAGGGACTTTCTGCCATAACCAGCAGATCTGTAGCAACCAATAATGTTGTCAGTCAGCCAGCCAGTTGAACTATAAGAAAGGAAAACTGCTGAAGAAACTTGTACTAGTTTTATACCTGATTTTGATTCTTTTTGTTCCGAACATAAGCTCCAATACATTTGCAACTAACAAGAGAGAGTTCAAAGAAATTCCCTGAATCATCAGGCATGTGGCATTCTTTGAAAACCTGCAGTACAAAGTAACTCATATATAATTGTCTGCTAAATTATTACTTTGCATACAAGCATAAAATGACAGAACTATATACTTTTGATACAATGCCATTAGTCATGGGAAACTTCAGTAGGTGTATGTTCATGACTTTCACTTTATATCAGATTTAGTTTATAGGAAAGAGGCGGAATTAGAACATACATCTTAACGTGAACGCATATTACTAAAATTGAATAATTTCGAGAAACTACAATGAACTGAGACCGATGATAATCACTTCATGATTTAGTAAACAAAATTGAGCATTTCCATAACACATCTTAAAAAAAGTAGTGAGAAGGCAAACCTTGGTATAAAATCTGGGTTCCCTGTAATGGGTTGGGTTGGATTTTCGTTTAGAGTCTCCAGATTGGTGGAAACAAGACTCTCGGAAAAAGATGTATCCGCCGACCTTCAACCATCCCATCATCCTTTCCACCAACTTCTCTACCTGCAGTGTCGAAAAATTTCGATTAGATTTCAGAACAAAATGACAAAGAAGTAACCTCTACCATAATCCTTAAGACACATAGAATAGAACCAGTGCAAATTACCTCCTTATCTGACAGATACATAAGAAGCCAATTTGAGAATATCAAATCCACTGATCCTTCAGAAATCTTCAGATCAGGCGATGTCACATCAGCGCACATGAACTTGACGTTCTTATGGTGTCCATTAATGCTCTCATTCTGGAAAGTAGCATATCAAAGATTCAAGGTTTATCAAAAAACAGATAGAAGTCTCACTTTCAGTGTGAGATGAGAACCGAAACATTGATCACAGCATCACCTTCTTTATCACACTGTCAATGAAGTCTAATGCGACAAGCTGACCGGCCTTTTCAGCTAATTCTCCAGTGAAACGACCTATCCCAGCTCCGAGTTCTACAATCGATTGACCCTCATAGGGAGGGAGCATAGAAAGCACCTGATAAGATCCAATTAAGTCAAGCCTCGAAAATGCGATAGTGACTACATGAAAACATCATCTCAACACACACCCAAAAAAAAAAAAAAAAGCGAAAAACTGTGCAGATATCCCATAAAAAAATCAATGCTGCTTACAAAACATGAAACATGAAAAATGAAACATCAAACATAAAATTGTTCCGAATGTCAATACTTGGTCACCCAAATTCTCGAAAGTTCGTTTCTTCTTTTTACTGGTCCGGAAAGGATTAAACTTTGGAGCTTCTTGTTTAAAAAGAAAAGTGTGGTGGTCAAATGAATTAAAGATCTTAAGTCCATAACTACAATTTTCTTCTCATTTAGCTTCTGCATTGTAACAATGGGGTCTGATTCATTCGGATTTCGTAACGTTTCATGTCTCGAATAATCAGGGCTCTGTTAAATTCATCAAAGAGTTCTTTCTCAAATCAGTCTTTCGGTCCGAAAATCAACTCCGATTTCACCATAAGTTTCGAATTTTTCAATTAATAGTTCCAAAGTCCAAATTTTTTTGTAAATGTCATTACTTCACCAATTCATCAGCATTGTCGTTTTTTTATATACTCTACTTTTTTTTTAATTTTTAAATTTTTTTTTTTATAACTATACAGACATATATCGATATAGATATAGGTATAGACATAGATATAGATATACATATAGGTATAGATAGATATAGATATACCTCAGGTCGTTCTTCCTTGTCGAGATCAGAGGCCTTGGAGTCGAGCATCATGGCCTCAACCGTCAAATCGGCGGAGTGCTCCACCCAGTAGTTCTTCTGCACCTCCCGTTCTTCACCTACAATAACAATTCGAAACTCAGAGGTCCGAATCGAACACATATATAACTAACCTCACAATTAATCAAAAACAACGAAAATGCGACCGTCACAGACTCATACCATTAGCAGAAGCAGCCATTGTTGACGGTGATCGAGAAAGCTGAGAATTGGAATCCAAACTCAAACGAGAGTGAGTGAAATGAGGAGGAGAAGAAGAAGATGGGGACTAAGATCCCTCAACTGCAATGCGTGATCTCGAAAAGCTCCTGGATCTTCGGTTGTTCGCTCTGCCTCTCTGCCGCATGTATATAGGCGTATATCGAGAGAGAGAGAAATGGGAAGAAGGAATCAGGAGTGTGAGAGTTTGTTTCAGTCGGAGCTGCAATTTATAGCAAAAACATGGAGCGTGGGCATTTTGGTAACTTAATGTATTTGTTTTGATAGTTTTGGGTATGAATTTACCACTCGATGAAGAAATTGACGAGAATACGGATGGTACATCACGTGTTTTTATGTAAGTGTTGGAAAATTTTATTTTTTAAGTTATTAACTTTTTAACACACAAATTCTATCATTTGTATAATGACACGTGATGTACCATCTCGTGTGTCGGTCACATTGAAAAATCTCTCCACTTAGATGAAGGGCATGACTCACGAGTCAGCCGTTCGTTTTCAGCGATCCCACAATGAATCAGTGGCACTCGAAAGCAAGCGAAGTTGCGACCAACCGGTGGCAATATCTGTTTTTTACTTCACACCTCCAATCTTTTGACGCCACGTGGATTTGGAGGACTTGTCTTGATGCTAAATTGTGGTTTAATTTTGACTACTTTCACACACTTATTTTCACTTCTCACACACCTCTTCAAGTTTCGGCATACGAATTAAATGTATTGAAGAAGATCAATGAAAGAAGAGCAAAACAAATGAAGCATGTCCAAAAGTAAACCAACCCTGTGGACTGCTACGAAAAAACACCATCAGATATCAAAGTAGCGCAATCTAATTAAAATTCTTACTTTTATGTAAGCTTTAACAATTTATGAACTGGTTATCTCATTAGCTCTTTTATTTGTGAATCCTTTTGTTTATTCCAAAATTACATATTTATATTTTCTTGGATTTACTGCTCTTGTTTTTTTGAATTATATTAAGATTTAACTCACAAAGGTGTGTGAAAGATAAAAGGAAAGATAAAAATAGATGTGTTAATAACATTATCCTTAATTTTTCCTTTTGTTATATTGGAGAGACTCCGAAAGAAAAATTATGATTTAATTCTTTTAGGCTTAGTGAATTTTCACTTTAGTTCATATCGTTTTGGTTGTAATGGTTTAATTTTGTTAACTTTTTAAATATGTAACCATAAATTGGATTTTTTGTTAAGTGTGTTAGAATAGTGTGTTTTCTCGGCAACACCAAATTCAAATCCCCCTTCTCAAAATTATATTAAACAAATCGTGCTTTTGCTCGGACAATAATTTGTATTAACATTCTGGTTCGTTGCTTTGTTAATCAAATTATGATCATAACGTAATATTGGAATTTAAATTTATTAATTGAAATCGTTCATTTTCATAATCATCATTTAAAAATATCATCACCACAAAAGCAAAACAACAAAAAATAAAAAAATTATTTAGCCATAATGTATTGATTTTTAATAAAAAGCATTATATTTTGGGTAAATTACATTTTACCCACTCAGGTTTGAAGTCGATTTCAATTCCTTACAACATCTTTAAAATATTTAATTTCATACATTTACTTATAATTTTTTTTAATTTCATACATCCGTTAGAAAATCTGTTAAGTGATGACGTGACAAATATAGGATCTCCATTTATGCTAACGTGACTACCACATTTGTATCACGTGGCTAAAAACTTAATAAAAATTTTAAAATAGTTATTTAAAGAAAAGTTAAAAAAGAAAAAAAAAACAAAACAAAACAAAACCCAGATCCCCTTCTTCTCCACCCGTGCCCACCCTCCCACCCCCCATCACCCGCAGCCACTTCCCTCCCCACTGCGCCTTCATCTCCAACGAGAACCTCCCCACCGAGCTCTTCCCTTAGTTAATTGAACCATCGCAACAACGTGCGGGCTAACGGTTAGCTCATGCTTAAAATCTTTGCGAGTTGCATGTAAAAGGTCAGTCACATGGTCATCAATCCATTGCAACATCCCAGACCCAGAGAAATTGTTCACCATCTTTAATCTTGCCTCATTTATACGAAAAGACAACCTTTCATGCATCCTTTCCAACAGAAGCGCCTCTCGAGCTCTGATGTCATATCTCTGCCGTGAAGTTTTTACTTGCATCCAGTTCGTCTCCAACTGGTTCCACAATATCCTTCAACTCTTCATGTTCCTTCCCCCATCACCCACCCCTTCTCCCACCACCCCCCCAACACTCTTTCTCTCGCACCACTCTCTCTCCCCAACTATCTCATTCTCTCGCAACACTCTCCCTCACTCGAAGAAAACCCCGATCGATCGGGTCGATGAAGACCACCACCATCTCCGACGAATTTCAGACCACCAACACCGCTATTAAAATCTCTTTTTCCCCTTGAACTCATCTCTGACGTCAGTTTGGAGAAAAACGAACCCCAAACGTCAATTTGACGAGCTCCGACACGGAGCTACTTTACCGGCGAGTTTTGCCGGTGTACTGGGGGAAGAGCTCGGCGAGGAGGTTCTCGTCGGAGATGGAGGCACAGTGGGGAAGGAAGTGGCTACGGGTGATGGGGGATGGAGGAAGGGGTGGGTAATGGGGGGTGAGAGGGTGGGCACTGGTGGGGAAGAAGGGAAAGAAGGGGATCTGGGTTTTGTTTTGTTTTTGTTTTTGTTTTATTTTTATTTTTAACTTTTCTTTAAATAATTATTTTAATATTTTAAAATTTTAGTCACGTGGCAATATATAGCAGCATAAATAGAGATCCTATATTTGTCATATCATTACTTAACGGTTTACTTAACAGATTTTTGGGTAAATTACATAGTAGCCCCTCAGGTTTGAGTTCTATTGCAATCTCATACAACATCTTTAAAACATTTCACTTTCATACCTCAAGTACTATTTTATTTCAATTTCATACAACCGTTAGATTTTCCATCCATGGATCTGTTAAATGCTGATGTGGCTGCCACATATATGACACGTGGCTGCCAAATGTCTGCCACGTGGCAAATAAAATAATTTTTTAATTTTTTTAAAAAAAACCTGAAATTGGAAGAAAAAAAAAAGGTCCGAACCCAGAAGAAGAAGAAAGAGAAAAGAGAAGAAGAAAGAGAGGGAGGAGAGAAAGAAGAAGAAAGAAAAAAAGAAAAAAAAAAAAGGGTCTGACCCAGAAGAAGGAAGAAGAAGAAAGAGGAGGAGGAGGAGGAGGAAGAAGAAAGAAGAAGAGAAAAAAAAAAAAAAAAAAAAAGGACCGAACCCAGAAAAAGGAGGAAGAAGAAGAGAAAGAAAGAGGAAGGAGGGAGGAGAGAAAAAAAAAAAAAAGGTCGAACCCAGAAGAAGAAGAAAAAGAAAGAGAAGAAAGAGAAGAAGAAAGAAGAAAGAGAAAGAAGAAGAAGAAGAAAGAGAAAAAAAAAGAAAAAGAAAAGACCGAACCAGAAGAAGGAGGAAGAAGAAGAAAGAGAGAGGAGGAGGAGGAAGAAAGAAGAAAAAAAAAAAAAAAAAAAAAGGACCGAACCCAGAAAAAGGAGGAAGAAGAAGAAGAGAAGAAGAAAGAGGAGGAGGAGGGAGAAGAAGAAAAAAAAAAAAAAAAAAGGTCCGAACCCAGAAGAAGAAGAAAAAGAAAGAGAAGAAAGAGAAGAAGAAGAAGAAAGAGAAAGAGAAAAAGAAGAAAGAGAAAAAAAAAAAAAATGACCGACCCAAAAGAAGAGAAAGAAGAAGAAAAAAAAAAAAAGGTCCGAACGCATAAGAAGAAGAAAGAGAGAGAAGAAGAAGAAGAAAGAGAAAAAAAAATGGTGACAAATATGTTTTTTTTTAAAAAGAATTAAAAAATTATTTTATTTGCCACGTGGCAGACATTTGGCAGCCACGTGTTATATGTGGCAGCCACTCAGCATTTACAGATCCATGGATGGAAAATCTAACGGTTGTATGAAATTGAAATAAAATAGTACTTGAGTATGAAAGTGAATGTTTAAAGATTGTATGAGATTGCAATAGAGCTCAAACCTGAGGGGCTACTATGTAATTTACCCCAGATTTTTTAACAGATGTATGAATTAAATTAAAATAATAAGTAAATGTATGAAATTAAAATATTTAAAAATGTTGTAAGGAATTGAAATTGATCTCAAACCTAAAAGGGTAAAATGAAATTTATCCTTATATTTTCTTTATATACAAATGAAATGTGCTTCAAAATGATGGGTGTACTTTTGAATAGTGTGATTTGATTCATTTAAGGGTCCACTGGTATCAATAAGTAGATTCTTATTTGGCAATTATTTAGCAGTCCTAGTCGATTACACGTGGATGTGGGGTTGGTAAGATTGCCTTAATGCATTATAAATTGAAAGAGTCCTTTGTCACGTTTTTATTTTTAGTGACAAAAATCTCATGCATGCATGTGCGTGTGCGTGTGTAAAGTATAATAGCCAACAATTGGCACTTCTAATTTAATTATCTTATAAATCTTCACATTGAGGAGAAATTTTCAATTTATCTGAAATACAAAACGGTACATTACATATCATTATATAATTAGAGGAAACTTTTTTCTTTGAAGTGTCCTTCAAATTGTATAACAATATGTGGCGTACCGTTCAATGTTCCGGACATACTAAAATGTTTCTGCACATTGAGGGTGTGAAAAAATCGTACAATAATTCTAATTTTTTTTTTATATCCACTATGAAATGCAAGCATATATTATAGAATACAATCCATTTGATTGGAGTATTTTACTAAATTTGAAGTAAGAGTCCAAATTTGCACAAATTTTACGAATGAAAACAAATGTTAGCTCCATAATACATCATCATATAGAAACTAACATGATTTGAGTTTTTTACTATTTTGAAAAACAAGCGAAGGAAGAGTCTGCATAAAAATATGAGATATGCTAAGGCCATCTCCAACCGAGGGCTGGCTAGAGGGTTGGTTTTAGCCCTCTGGTCCTCCAAGATATTAATATTTTAATCAACAGTATAGGGTAATAATTGGCTCCGTCTCCAATCGAGAGCCAAACATAATTTATTATTTAAATTTAAAAAACTACAACAACTTAAATTCATATTGTTTAATGTTGTTTCATGTTACTGAATTTAATTTAATGTTGTATAATGGCTTAGGAAGTTATAGGAAAAAAATAGAATTGAAAAAAAATATGAAA